TTGGGCCAACAAAGGGGGTACCCCAGAATGATTTCATGTTTGAGCCCTTTCCAAGGTTTTTTTTCCCAGGCCCAATATTCTTGCAAGACTTTAAAGATGTTAACGGCCCCTAACATGGACCCTCCAACCCTCAAAACACAGGTCTTGTGTTCCTTAACCCCAAAAAAGTAGAACCTAACGATGCACAAACAACAAGAAGGCCTCCCATGGTTCACCTAGACCCTGCTGGTAGGGGTGGTGTAGCTTTGGCATGCTTTGGCCAAGTTTTGGAGGCGGTTCCCAAGCATTCTACACAAGTCCCCAAAGCAGATCATACCCATGTTTGATTAGAGTGGTTCCCTATGGTTTTATGGTTTACCTAGACCTGGGTGCTAGATACATGGTCTATCTTCAACCACAACAAAGGATGGTACCAGCCAAGTCCCCCTTGCAGATTTCAAACAAAAATATAAAATATCATTTTTTCTTTTCACAAGTCTCTATTCAAAAAGGCTCTTCTGAGTCATGTTTTGGGCCAACAAAGGGGGTACCCCAGAATGATTTCATTTTTGTGCCCTTTCCAAGGTTTTCCCCAGGTCCAATATTCTTGCAAGACTTTAAAGATGTTAACGGCCCCTAACATGGACCCTCAAACCCTCAAAACACAGGTCTTGTGTTCCTTAACCAAAAAAAGTAGAAACTAACGATGCACAAACAACAAGAAGGCCTCCCATGGTTCACCTAGACCCTGATGGTCAGGGGGTGGTGTATCTTTGGCCCAATTATGGAAGCGGTTTCCAAACATTCTACACAAGTCCCCAAAGCAGATCATACCCATGTTTGGTTAGAGTGGTTCCCTATTGCTTTATGGTTTACCTAGACCCGGGTGCTAGATGCATGGTCTGTCGTCAACCACAACAAAGGATGTTACCATCCAAGTCCCCCTTGCAGATTTCAAACCTAAATGTATTTTTTTCTTTTCACAAGTCTCTATTCAAAAAGGCTCTTCTGAGTCATGTTTTGGGCCAACAAAGGGGGTACCCCAGAATGATTTCATTTTTGTGCCCTTTCCAAGGTTTTCCCCAGGTCCAATATTCTTGCAAGACTTTAAAGATGTTAACGGCCCCTAACATGGACCCTCAAACCCTCACTAGACGACGGATGGCCCGAGAGCGTAGAGGAGCAGAGTCTTTTGTTGTTAGTATGGAGACACTATATTACAAGATAATATATTAAAGATGTATTATAGGCAGACGAGAAGAGTAGCATCAAGACAATAAATGACTGGTACAAGACAATAGTTTGCATCGTATTTTTGTAAAGTTTTTCATACACAGAACTTTTTACAGACAGACGCTTTTGCACACAGAGACTTTTACACACAGAGACTTTTACACACAGAGACTTTTACACACAGACGCTTTTACACACAGACGATTTTGCACACAAACACTTTTACACACAAACACTTTTACACACAGAGACTTTTATCAAGACAATATATGACTAGTACAAGACAATAGTTTGCATCGTATTTTTGTAAAGTTTTTCATACACAGAACTTTTTACAGACAGACGCTTTTGCACACAGAGACTTTTACACACAGAGACTTTTACACACAGAGACTTTTACACACAGACGCTTTTACACACAGACGATTTTGCACACAAACACTTTTACACACAAACACTTTTACACACAGAGACTTTTACACACACAGAAGCTTTTACACACAGAAGCTTTTACACACAGAAGCTTTTACACACAGACGCTTTTACACACAGACGCTTTTACACACAGACGCTTTTACACATAGGCTCTTTTACACAAAGACACTTTTACACACAGACGCTTTTACACACAGAGCCTTTTACACACAGACGCTTTTACACACAGACGCTTTTGCACACAGAGACTTTTACACACAGACGCTTTTACACACAGAGCTTTTTACACACACACGCTTTTACACACAGACGATTTTGCACACAAACACTTTTAGACAAACACTTTTACACACAGACGCTTTTACACACAGACGCTTTTACACACAGAAGCTTTTACACACAGAAGCTTTTACACACAAACGCTTTTACACACAGACGCTTTTACACACAGACGCTTTTACACACAGACACTTTTACACACAAACGCTTTTACACACAGACGCTTGGACACACAGACGCTTTTACACACAGAGGCTTTTACACACAGACGCTTTTACACACAGAGACTTTTACACACACAGACGCTTTTACACACAGACGCTTTTACACACAGACGCTTTTACACACAGACGCTTTTACACACAGAAGCTTTTACACACAGAAGCTTTTACACACAACACTTTTACACACAAACACTTTTGACTCTTATACACACACAGACGCTTTTACACACAGACGCTTTGCTTTTACACACAGACGCTTTTACACACAGGCGCTTTTACACACAGACGCTTTTACACACAGACGCTTTTACACACAGACGCTTTTACACACAGACGCTTGTTACACATAGGCTCTTTTACACACAGACACTTTTACACACAGACGCTTTTACACACAGAGCCTTTTACACACAGACGCTTTTACACACAGACGCTTTTACACACAGACGCTTTTTACACACAGGCGCTTTTACACACAGACAAGTCCGGCACAAGTAAAATCGCAATTTTACCTCAGTTTTTGACGATCGACCCTCATTTCGTGCGAAAGGGTTGCTCCGGCACAAGTAAACTCGCAATTTGACGATCGACCCTCATTTCGTGCGAAAGGGTTGCTCCGGGGCAAGTAAACTCGCAATTTTTCCTCAGTTTTTGACGATCGACCCTCATTTCGTGCGAAAGGGTTGCTCCGGGGCAAGTCAAATCGCAATTTTTCCTCAGTTTTTGACGATCGACCCTCATTTCGTGCGAAAGGGTTGCTCCGGGACAAGTAAACTCGCAATTTTTCCTCAGTTTTTGACGATCGACCCTCATTTCGTGCGAAAGGGTTTCTCCGGGGCAAGTAAACTCGCAATTTTTCCTCAGTTTTTGACGATCGACCCTCATTTCGTGCGAAAGGGTTGACGTTTCGTGACTCACCGCCGGTACCACCCTCGGCCTAAAGAGAGAAAGATAAAGAAGGCGAGAGAGAGAAAAAGGAGAGAGAAAGGAGAGAGAATGAGAGAGAGAGAAGATGTGAAGATGAGAAGGTGTGAGAGAAGGTGTGAAGATGAGAAGAGAGAAGATGTGAAGATGAGAAGGTGTGAGAGAAGATGTGAAGATGAGAAGGTGTGAGAGAAGATGTGAAGATGAGAAGGTGTGAGGGAAGATGTGAAGATGAGAAGGTGTGAAGATGAGAAGGTGTGAGAGAAGATGTGAAGATGAGAAGGTGTGAGAGGAGATGTGAAGATGAGAAGGTGTGAGAGAAGATGTGAAGATGAGAAGGTGTGAGAGAAGATGTGAAGATGAGAAGGTGGGAGAGAAGATGTGAAGATGAGAAGGTGTGAGAGAAGATGTGAAGATGAGAAGGTGTGAGAGAAGATGTGAAGATGAGAAGGTGTGAAGATGAGAAGGTGTGAGAGAAGAACTGAAGATGAGAAGGTGTGAGAGAAGATGTGAAGATGAGAAGATGTGAAGATGAGAAGGTGTGAGAGAAGATGAGAAGATGAGATACAGACCTCCACTATTGGAAGAACCCTGCGCTCAGACGCTCTCGGGAAAAACACAGGTCTTGTGTTCCTTAACCAAAAAAAGTAGAAACTAACGATACACAAACAACAAGAAGGCCTCCCATGGTTCACCTAGACCCTGATGGTTAGGACTATGTTTTGCTCGTTTTTCGTTTTGTCCATTGTATCCCCATGGTCTATGTGATCCCCATAGTTGGACTTTCAGGAAGCCATTAAGAAAGATATATCCTAACAAAAAACATATAGACTCCGACATGCTGTTTTGGCAAGATGGATCATTTCTTGGACTAGAAACTCAAATAGATCCTTATACCATTTCAGGGTATATTTTAGCCCTACTTGCAATGCTACTGCAGGAGTTGAGAAAAAACATGTTAGTGGGGTCGGCGGAAAGTAAACAAAAATACAATTTGTGGGGTCTATGTTATTATGCCAGTTGTCCATTGTTGGCCATTGTTGTCCATTGTATCCCCAGGGTCTATGTTATCCCCATTGTTGGGTTTTGCAGGCACGCAACTCTTTATTACAAGAAATCATATACCCTGATACCAGTCCAGGGGTATATGTTAACCCTAGTTGCAATGCTACTGCAATGGTCTTATAAGTTTTTGTAAAGGTCCATGTTAGTGAGTAAAACATGGTGAAATTGGCATGCAACATGTGGGGTCTATGTTATGCCAGTTTCCCATTGTTGTTCATGGTATCTCCATGGTCTATGTTATCCACACTTTTTGACTTGCAGGTTTGTTTCACATGTTTTTACAAGAAAAGATAGACCCTGATTTGCTCACCGGGGTCTACGTTTAAATGTAGGTATCAAGCCGTCAGGGTCTACGTTTGTTTTCGTTAGAGTAATATTTTTCAGAGGGGTTGAAACCACCAACCAGATAAGGTATATATCATATATTTATTTACTCACGCAATTCAAAATTCTATGCACCGAGGTTTCTCGTGGTGGTAAGTGGTTGTGATCATTCATGAACGACTGGTTGGTGGTTTCATTTTTGTCCAACTCAACCAGTGGGGATGATTCCAATCCAGCTGACAGTCCAATTTTTCAGTCGGGCTGAACCATCAACCAGATCGATTTGTTCCGCACCAATCCTGGGTTATCCCATCTCTTTTTCAATTTACTCAACTGAGGGCAGTTTCACTTCGCATCAACATGTTGAATAAAAATGAATAAAACAACTATCAGTCATATTTACTTATCTTATGATGTTTGGTGAAATATTACTTACTTGAACCAGTTGAATAAAATTGGTATAAATTGGTCATATCTCACCAACTCGTTCCATGGCTTCCCGATGGTTCCCGGGCAGATCCGCATAGTTCCGCCGAGGTACGGAAGAACACCATCACCAGCAACAGCATGGAGATAGAGAACTTGGTGAGATTGAGCCGCATGGCTGACTCAGGAACCGGAGGAACACGTGGGGCCGTGCTAAAAAACCAGTGGATCTAAGCATAATGGAAATAATATGGACATATAGTGGGAATATCAACGAATGGGAAAAATAGGAATAAACACATGTAAGTGGCGAAATAATATGGTGGGAATACTGTCCCCACAATGGCGCCAACCATTTTCTGGGAAGAATCTCTCCGCCCATTCTGATTCAACAGCACCAGGGCCTACGATTTGAAAAGTAGGGGGATGCGGCCTTAACATGGTGCAAAGAGAAAACGCATCAACATACATCAACTGTTTAAGGAGGTTGGATGATTAAAAATTAAAGGTTATGTCCTTTGTTTCCTGGTTGGTTTGTGGTTCACAGGGTGCAGTATTGAGCAAACCACTGGAAATCCAGATGTTTGCTCGGTTCACCGATTGTGTGTTAATCTTCATTTGAATCTGGATTTACATTGTTTGGTGGTCAAACTACGGCTATATAAAGCCATTTTGTTTTTGTACTTAAAAATCGTGTGTTTTGCCCATTTGGTGCTTAAAAATCACCTGTTTTTGACTGTTTGTTTGCAATGTTTTGATGAAATTCCTCATTTTTCGATCCAGGCAACCGCGCAGAGACCGCCATCCTTGACCAAATGTCCGGTGCAGATTCCCCCGCACAGAGTGCGTTGAGCCAGGCACAGGGACGGGTGAAAACATGCTAATAGTAGCAGTGTGTATACATATACATATACATATACATATACATATAATTATATATAATACATATATATATATATACAAATATCTATAAATATGTCATGTCTAATTGTTTCGTGAAGTATGGTCCTTTGCCCAAGTCTTCAAGTGCTTGGTCATTTTTCTTGGTACATTAAAATTGTCATTGACCAATGCGGAGGGAGAAGCTGGGTGAAACCAGCAGAGTTGATATCCCCCAGGCCTTCCGCAGTTTGAATTTCATGTTTTGCGGGTACATTCAATTTGTGCATAAAATCGCGGTGTTCCTGTTCACTAAATATATAATTATATATATGCCAATACATATAAGCATACACTACATATATAATTTCAACAAATATAATTACATATATATATATAATTACATATATATAATTACATATATATATATACATAATTACATATCATATATATAAAGTTACATATATATATAATTACATATATATATAATTATATATATAATTATATATATATAATATAAATATGCATGTATAATATATATGATTATAAATGTAAATATTCTCATGACTGTAATATAGTTGTTTTATATATATGCTAGATTGTGCTTCCATGATCGCGAGTGCTTCATGTGCATCATTGTTGGTGAAGACACTGATCGAATCATGTCTGATGACAGTACTTGTGGGCTTAGGATCTTATCCAGTTACGGGACAACCCAATTAGGAGACTCCAGCTACTTTCTCTATGAAACACTCTTTCAAACCCTGAAAAACAAAAAACACTCTATCCAAGCCCATGTTTTACCCCGTTTTTGATCTATGGGTCTGTTGGAAAATAGGCTACGCCAAAATCCAGTGGTTTATCATGTTCCCTGTGAAAATTTCTGTTTTTTACCTATTAACAGAACACAATTTGGAGGCATTTGGGGGATACCTCAGTTTCAGATACACCCACCCTATCATTTCCCATGTGGTCGGCCTTCCTTTGTCACCGACGAATCCTCCGAGCTTGTGCCGCGACAGGACAGAGGCTGTGAGATCTCGTTAAAAGTGCCGCAGTGCCTGCTCGGTTGCTGAAACCAGTGCGACGTCAGTGGATGGATGGTCAGGTCAGTGAATTACCCGGCCTGGTAAACATACAACAAAAACTGATGGTAAAATCACCATTTTCAATGGGAAAACTCCCTATAAATGGCCATGTTCAATAGCTATGTTAAATTACCAGAGGGTATGAACCAAGTGGTTATCTCAATGAATTGAGTGATCATATCTCATTATCAGCGAAGTGGGTATATTGCCAATTTATGCAAACGATTAGTCTTAAAAGGAAAATAACAATTTGGTTGACATGTTATGAATGGGGATTGAACTGCATTGATCAGGGACTTACTGTCAAGTCTTAGGATGTCATTGATTACTGATATTTGTTTTTAATGATTCTAAGGGATTACGCCATTATCCAACCTTTACAATCATACAAGCATGGATACAAATATGTATATATATATATATTTGTTTGTGTGTGTGCGTGCCGCTGTGTTTGAGAATAGAATACCTCTAGATCCACTGTCATGCTTTTTCCTCATAAAATGCACTTTTTGGATCTTTTTGGGGTAATTATACCCTTATGTTCTCCTCTATAGTTTATTCTAATGATTTTTAAACTTGAAAAAATGCCAAAAAAAGGAAAACACATCAAACATCAAAAAGCAAAACTTAAAAACTGAAAAGAACAAATAAGCAAATCGAAAAAGCAAAATAAATGCAAAAAAAATGCAAATGGACAAATCCATTGTTTCACCATTTTTTCCCTTTTTGACTTTCCTGTTTTCCCCTTTTTTCTCTTTTATTTTGTTTTTGTGTTTTTTTGAATTTTGCTGATTTGCTTTTTGGTTTTTCCATTTTTTATGCATTTGTCGCGCTTTTTTTTCAAGTTTAAAAAAACAATAGAATAAGCTACGGACTGGTGAACATAAGTATACCCCATATTCAGACAGCCATATCCTGCATCCTCCAAGACTCCAAGAGCCGTCAAATTACCTCAAGAACAGACCCTGAATCACTGAAGTAGCAGGTTTTTTTTTACCCCAAGGTCTGATTTGTTTTTTTTGCACAAATCTCATGAATGAAAAACATGATACCGTTGGGTTTGGATTACCACGACCTCGCAACAACCTCAAGCCGTGGACCAGTTTCAGAGCGAAAAAACATGCTGGTCATTTTCATCCATATCTAGAGGTGCAATAATTGTGGCCTTTTTTCAGCCTATATGAATTTCATCATGGGTCATGGGGTAATATAAACCGAGCTGGTGAAAAACCTACTCGAAAAACGGCTATCTTCCACATGGCTTGCTGGAAAATCCCATTGTTTTAAGATGAAATTCCCCTTAAAACACTACTTTGGGCTGGGAATGTTTCCCATTGATTTTCCTTTTTCCCTTAAAGGTCACGTGGATTGCCCAGCCGCCGAGAGGGTGGAAACCCCGGAGTGCTCCCAATCGAGAGGGTGTTGAATAGAAATATATAGAAATGGGGGATCGGATAATTAAATGATAGCCACAAGGCATCACAAGGGGGGTCCATGAGTCATTTTACCGAAATATATAAAACTCCGTTTGGACACCGCTTTTACCTGGGGTGTCTAGAGAAATTCAATATAGAAACTAGAGATTGAAATCCTAAAGAAACTTGGGCTATTTTCCATGGAGTCACCGGAAAGTTTAATCTCCATGGATTTCCGACTCTGCCACTGACAGCTGAGGCTTTGTGTTGCTCTTGAGCGTTTGCAACGTGGTCTTATACGCCACTGGGATTGCAGATTTTGAGCTCAACCCCGCTGGTCGCATCCAGAAAGTGATGACATAAGTGGTTGATATGATAACCAATGATGAATAATGATGATTATATATATATATATACCTAGCGATGACATAATATATCCAGTGACTTTTCTCCATGTTTCCAATCATTTTCCAGTTCCATGCAGGTTCTTTGACAGATAGTTTGTGGGAAAGTTGTTATTTTCCTTGTCCAATCGCAAGCGCCCTTCGCTGGTGATCCATCCGCTAAACCATGACCTTTTCATAGCGGAAGAACATAATGAATGCCACTTTGGTGAGTAAAATGACATTTTGAGCGCTATATATTGAACGTTTTTGAATTATATATTTTGAACTTATATATTGAACTGTATATTGATCATGTGTTTTCATTGTTTTCTATATTTTGAGCTGTATATTGATCATTTTTTGCACCGAATGCCAAATGGTGGGTCACAAAGCCCAACTGATCCAACTGCCCATAAAGGGTGACTCACCAGAATGGAAAAATATCATAAACCAATCCAGCGATTTTGGTTGTGATGAAGACACATGATATTATATATAATATATATATATATTATATTCTTCAAGATGTTTTTCACAAGTTTTCCGAAGTGTCACCTGGTGGTTAACGGCAGGAAGTCCCTCGGATTTCCCTCCCCAGTTTTCGTTAGGATTGTGAGCCATTTGCTCATCATTTACTTTCTTTACTTTCTTCACTAAAATACAATAACATACCAAGATTTTTGATGTGATTTCTGAAGCTGCCATGTTTTGGAACACCCTTTTCACATGTCGTTGGGCGCTTCGCCAGGCCATCTTCCGTTTCCTTCGTCACCACGTGGCTTGGGATGGCCTGACGGCTCCTCGCCAAAAGTTAAGACGATAGCCACCCTTAAAACATGAACATTGAAGCATTTGAAATACCGGATTTTAATGGATTTAACATATTTAACATATTTATCCATCTAACATAGGGGATTCAAGCATTTGACGTAGGGGATTTAACCATCTAACATGGGATGAAATTCATGGGTATACATATGTATATATATATATATTTAAACAATATTATATAACCAATGATGGTAGTTTCGACCGTTGATTCTTTTCAATCCCAAACATGGGACGATGATCTCAACGGGATAAGATGAAAGGGGGGGAGACAAGTAGGATCGCCGTCTCTTTTTGCAGACTTCATGAAGAATCTACCAGGAATCAAAGGTAGCAATGAGACATGTTTTACTGTATTTTTTTTCAATTGCAGTTTCGATTATTATAATGAGAATAATTTATAGATATCTAAGATATCTATAGATGGATTTTTCAAGCCATGCTTGACTACCGGGTCTTTTTTAGTCCGAATCTGCGCTGCTTAAATTCATCGGATCGCCATGGAAAAGATGAGTTCACCAGGCCCCCTTTGGCGTGGTAAACACTGCGGCGAAGTGTGTTGAATGTATTTCTGGTTGGTGGTTTCAAACATGGCTTTTATGCCATCCATAATATATGGGATAATCCGAAACCCATTGACGAACTCATATTTTTCAGAGGTGTTGAAACCACCAACCAGATTTTGTTTATTTTGTTACTTGAAAAGGTCAACATAAAGGTCACAATGAAAAAATATAGATATAATATGATATGATGATATATTATGCGGTCGTTACATATACTATATTATAATATATTATAATATATTATATATGTAATGATGTTATGCCTACTTTTGAGTGCCAGCTAGGCAGGGGCGATGGGTAGTTTTTTGCACTATCACCAGGCCAGTGGGCAGTCATTAGACCAACTGTTTGGACACAGAAATGACTGGTAACTTTGAGACAGAAACAATACATTTCTTTGGCTTCTCTAATCTTGAGCATGAATCATGAGGTTTAACCATCAAACAAGGGGAAGGAAACATAGGGATTTCATATTCACATGATTTATATAATATCAATGTATCAATATTAATATCAATGAAACATGATCCAACGGGGATTCTGACGGAGACCAACCACTGAGGTGATTGCCAACAGCTTCTTTACCTGCGCTGCAGTTCTCTCGTCTGTTTTCCTCAGGCCTTTGCGTAGGCTGAATCCGTTCACAATGTGACTTGCCCATGAGCTACGGTTTGCTACGGAAAATCACTGTGCTCAACAGGTAATTCATCATGATTCATCTATAAATATGGGATGTTCCATAGCTATGTTAAATAACATGACATGAGGGTATGGTTCTCGCCATTTTTTGGTGGATCCGCCCATATTTTTTAAACTTTCAAACAATCCAACAATCGTCTGGAAATGATTGGAAATTGACATCGCAACCGTCGCAGCCCATCCTTAATATTTGCATGAAACAAATGAGGCTTTTGATGCAGGGTGTTTTTTCTGAAATCAGAAAAACCCTTCATGCAAATGTTAGGTGGGTCATCGGTTATAAAGTTCCCTTGGTTATTTCGATTCAACGGCAAGTCTTTGGAGTGATTTTTCAAGTAACCTCCAAAGATACAAAAACGCAATTCATCACTATTTCAGTAGGAATTGATTTTGCAATCTTTTTTGGTGGCTATAAATGACAATTCTGAATGAATCGTCATGGTTTGAGGGCTCACCCCCAAAAGAAAAAAAAACAGAATTGTTAATTCTCCCTTTGAATCCAGTCACAACTACCTCCTTAGAAAGTATGCTGATCCAGAGGGCATGATTGTTTCGTTTGTAAATTGCCATAAGGGTGAAACTTCCCGCTTTCTCCTGAAACCCATCCATGGCAGGGACGCTTTACGATCGACGGATTTGGAACTCACAATGGGGAAGCTGCACTCGTTACCTGGCGGAGTGAGTTGCGTTGCGACCCCATAGCAATCCGTACACCACAGGTCGCAAGCCTTAAACTTTGGAGGAAAAATAGTACAAACACTGTTAAGGTCTGATTTGTCTACAGTAAGCGCGTTGTGCTTTTGAGTTGTTGATCCCCTATTTGAGACAGCCCCCGTTGTACCGGTAATTTTTTTTCCTGTGACTCCACTTCGGCGAATAAAAATGCCAAGTCAGGTAAAAATCATCAAAAAATGGATGTTGCAAGGTTGGGGTTCAGGAAAACAAATGTTGGAGCCAGGAAAGCAGGATTAGTAACATAAGGTTGTACCACAGGATTTTATATGTTTTGAAGATTTGCTTGCCAGGATTGCATGGTTTTCCAAACAAGGTTGGGGTACAGGAAAAAAATCTCTGGGCCAATCTGTCGAACAGGAGAGGGTAGGATCTACATAAAGGTTGTGATCATACTTTTTAATGCATTTCAGTGGTTTGTAAAAAGGTTGAATCCGATAGCTTCACTGGATTTTAATTATGAACAGTTATGAACTCCGTATGGTTTTCTTCAACAATATCCTCCTCTGTACTACCAGTTTTTTTTCCTGGGGGTTCAGTACGCTTTTTAAAAAACACTATTTTCCAAAATCTAGCAGACAGTGGGTGAGGGTCCCGGGGCATGATATGGGGCCAGGAATAAAATATCATACCAAAAAAGGCCCAGATTTTTTTTCCTGAAAGCTTCCTGACGTACAGTGACAGGAAATCAATTTCTGTCTGTTGTGATTGAGGGGGGGTTGATCTATCAGTCTGTGTATGTAAGGCATCAGGAAATCAATCATGAATGACTCTGATAATGGGTAAGTTTGTAGAATTCCCAAGGTTAGTAGCCAGGAATTTGAAGGTGGATGGATCAAATGGGAGTTTACTAGAACATATCTAAATGTCAAACCCCAGGAAAAAATGTACCATGATTACTTGAGGGGGTATGATTCTTTACATGACTTTGCAAAAGGGTACAAACACATATGTTCACCTTCACCAACCAAAAAAGTGACTTCAAGAGGCCAAGGCGCAGGGGTCAAAAATAAAATCCAAGGGGCTGGACCTTTTTTGACTGAATACTTGCGGATGATCTTCAAAGGTTGGCCCCACAGGAAAAAAGTCGCATCACCAGGCCAATCATCCACAGATAGGACATGATGGGACGAATTCAAGAATTTTGTGTCAACGCGCGCCCAAATTGCAAAACACATGTTTTTTTTTCTGAAAATACAGTTGTCCTTGCAAAAGGGTACAGACACACATGTTCAGCTTAACCAACCAAAAAAGTGACTTGAAGAGGCCGAGGCGCAGGTGTCAAAAATAAAATCCAAGGGGCTGGACCTTTTTTTGACTGAATACTTGCGGGATAATCTTCAAAGGCTGACCCCACAGGAAAAAAATCGCACCCCCAGGCCAATCATCCACAGATAGGACATGACGGGACGAATTCAAGAATTTTGTGTCAACGCGCCCAAATTGCAAAACATGCTTTTTTTTTCTGAAAATACATTTGTCCTTGCAAAAGGGGTACAACCACATATGTTCAGCTTCACCAACCAAAAAAGGTGACTTCAAGAGGCCGAGGCGCACGTGTCAAAAATAAAATTCAAGGGGCTGGACCTTTTTTGACTGAATACTTGCGGATGATCTTCAAAGGTTGGCCCCACAGGAAAAAAGTCGCATCACCAGGCCAATCATCCACAGATAGGACATGATGGGACGAATTCAAGAATTTTGTGTCAACGGGGGCCCAAATTACAAAACATATGTTTTTTGCTGAAAATGCATTTGTCCTTGCAAAAGGGTACAACCACATATCTTCAGCTTCACCAACCAAAAAAAGGTGACTTGAAGAGGCCGAGGCGCAGGTGTCAAAAATAAAATCCAAGGGGCTGGACCTTTTTTTGGCCGAATTCTTGTGGATGATCTTCAAAGGCTGACCCCACAGGAAAAAAATCTTATCACCAGGTCAACCATCCATAGATAGGAAATGATGGGACGAATTGAAGAATTTTGTTCCAACGTGTGGCCAAATTGCAAAACAGGCGTTTTTTCCTGAAGATACATTTGTCCATGCAAAAGGGTTGTGCATTGCCGTGGGCATCTGCCGGACCGCACTCGTGAAGCCGTGGACTCTGAAAAACTGCGAGCTGTCAGCCGGGAAGTCAGGTGCCAGGAATTCATTTTTTTTCCGTATCAGATTGAGGGGGGGAAGATATGGCATGTTACCAACGCAAGCATCCAGGAAATATTTTTTTTACTTGGATATGAGAGGGGTAAATTTATTGGATGTTGGACGTTGGGCACCACGAAATTAGCAAAGAAAATTCAAAAAGGTGGTTGGAAGTGAGATTTCGGCTTCAGAGGTTAGGAGCCAGGAATTTAAAGCTCTAAAACCTCTCTCAAAGGTTAGGGGTCATCATTTTAGACCGATTTTTTTCTAGGACTGTACCCCACGTTTTTGTACCGACGGGGATCAACAATCATGTAGAGAGGACACATCATTTCTGGTCATTTCCAACAGAGAGAGAGAGAGAGAAACAGTTCTGGACCTCCAAAGCCTAGTGTCATCCATCTCCCCGTCTTGAAAGATCTTGACAGCATGCGAGCAAAAAAATGATGGGCCGGTGGAAACCCTGTGACCCAGGATTTGAATTATATGACAAGAAAAGTGTTTATGCCAAACCCTCAGCAGTTTTTGAAAGGTCGTGATCTTCCAATTCAATCGACTTGACGATCTGAATGGGGTAGGTACACATGTATCATCATAAAGGTTATGACCCAGGAAAAGAGTTGTGTCAGCGCAATGGTGGGCCAGGAGACATGTTAGTCCACATAAAGGTTGTGGAACAGGATTTTAATTTGTTTGCCCGGGAAATTGCAACTTGGTTGTTGGCTTAAATCTGTTGGGTTGTACCCTTTGGAAATCAATTCCAAAAGGTTGTGGACCAAACGGGTTAAGGTCTTTTGGTTGTTAGTCCACATAAAGGTTGTGGAACAGGATTTTAATTTGTTTGCCCGGGAAATTGCAACTTGGTTGTTGGCTTAAATCTGTTGGGTTGTACCCTTTGGAAATCAATTCCAAAAGGTTGTGGACCAAACGATTTAAGGCATTTTTTTCCAGGACTGGACCCTTTTGAGCGGTACGACCGGGGGTTTTGAGACGACCCAGGGAGTGAAAAACTGGTGTCACCACGGCGGGACCATAGTTTGTTCAACCCGGATCTGCTTCCCCGTGGAAGATTGATGAATCCGTGTGGGCTTATGAGTCTGGAGTCAGCATAAGAAATGTTGGACCCGAAATGATGGATTGCAATTGGGTTACGACCCTCCTATTTTGATTCCCCCGCCAAAAATATGTAATCCCCATGATGGTTGGTAAATATATACTCCATATACATATATCATCATATGTATATATATATATACGTAATTATATAATTATATATAATTATGTATGAATATATTTACACATATATAGTTATATATGTATATATTCATTGTTGTTCCCCAAATTCCAAACTCGGCAAGTTACACTCCAGCGGAGAGTAGAAACAATCCTCAAGCGCTTTGTGATGGGATCAAACATCCTTCAACGGAACCACATAGGGTATACCATATGTCATAAGCCCCAAATTTGGGGATGCTTACTGTTGAAATTGAATAAGTTAAGGGCTGATCATATGATGCTTATGGGCTATGATTTTTTTGTCATAGATGTATTGTAGATGTAGCCATACCGAGTGATACACATATATATATATACATACCAATCTAGAGTGAAATGTCTTTTGGCCTTACCATTTATCAGACACCATTCTGAATCCTCAGTTCGAATGCGGTAAATCATTGGGCGGCGCCAGATTTGTGGATGACGTGATGCACGAATGGTGGAGGTTATCTTACATTGAGCAATGGAGGACGATGGGGGCCCTCAGTCATAGCATAGCTGGATGGTTATACCGTTATACACCCAAATATGGTAACAATAGGTTTTGACCCATCCCCCCACACACACAGATACACATATACATATATATATATATTGTACATTATATATATAATACATATATATATAATACATATATATATATACATATATATATATACATATATATATAATATTCATTTACTTGTACTGTATATATATACACATAAAATATGTATATTTCTGATGGCACATTTGCTTGTAGATGTTTTTTTTTCCCAGCTTCTTTGGAGCGGAGTTTGGTATTCGTTTCGCTGGTGTCCGGCACCAGAGTTGGACGCCCATAGAGACCCAATGTGGACATGCTTGTCGATCAGCACCCCATGATATTTGGAGTACAAAAAACACGTCTGACCTTCGGACATGTGGATGTAAGATCATTGAAGATCTGGACATATACAGTAAATCGAAGGAAACAATTTTTACGCGTTGCTTTTGGAACATGATTTTCCCAATTTCAACTTGGCCAGCTCCGGCACCAGGAGTTGTGTCTTTTGGATTCTCTGGGTCATCGTCTTTTTGGCTGGGCAGGTGGAGGGTCATGACAGATGGGATGACCACAATTCATAACGTGTAAGTTGATCATGGCGCATTTGGGTGCAGATTGAGTATTTAACTTACCCTTTGGGTATGGAAAATATAGTTCACCATTGTTAGCCATACATCACCCTTACTTATTCATACGTTCACATTGCTATGGAACATCACCATTCTTAGCCCTGCACAGGTGCTACGGGAGTGGTACTTAGAAGAGGCCCGCAGAGCTGGGAAATCCCTGTTCGGCCGGGTCGGAGGATCCCCCGATCTAGCTGATGACCTTTAATGGCGGTTATTTTTTCCCATATGGATCCATATGGTCTATATGCTCTATGTACCGAAGATGAAGATTTAGATCACCATTTTTTTTGGTATAACACAACCATTTTTTCTGGTAAAGTACCTATCATGTGATAAGCCCAACAATGGACCACCCCCATTCCGGGTGATGTGTATATATTTATATATATATATACTCATGCACTATTTGGTTTACTACTTATTACCTACCGGTTGTTTCTTGTTGAATCCCCATTTGTTTCTTGTTCAATTTCCCCTTTGTACATGTAAGTATTGTGGTTCAATCCACATTTTTCGGATGAGTAACTCAGGGGTGACCCTCCGATAGGTAATAAACTATTTTATGAGTGATAATGCCAGTTGGTAGCTGCTCATTATAATCCCATGAAGATTTTAGTGAGTATAGTGAATTATGTTGCCAATAGTTACCAACTGGTGTAGGATTTCGCAACCATCCACAATAAATGTTGGTTACTCGGCCCCCAATCATCTGAATATACCTATAGACTTCCATCACTTTTTGAATCCTCAAGTACCCCCCTTGGTTGCTTAGTCCTTGAGGAATCACCATTATATATATAATATAATTTAATATAATTTAATTTTATATTATATTATATTGTATTACATTATATCATATTATACTATATTAAATTATATTACATTATATTATATTATATTATATTGTAATTTATTATATTGTATGTATACACGGTATATATGCATATATTTTGAATTATTTTGACAATATCATATGATATATACCTCTCCTAGATCACTTCGATCCCTCATGATAGTTCATCCATTTTCCATATTTTTCATCCATGTCTCATCCATTTTGTCCACCATTTTTCAGCAAAATCTGCATGTAAAAAGGGGGAGTTTTCAGCAAAATCGCCGCACGTCAGGCCATGGACCCGAGCTCTGCGCTGGAGTCCCGGGCTTTCAGGTGCGTTGTGAAATCAAGTGGGTCAACCAATTGGGAAGTGATGGAATAATAGGAATACCCGGCCTGGTAAACGTTTACAGTTTGCAAACTGGAAAATCACTATCTTTAAATAGGTAAATCAACTATTTCGATTAGGGCCATGGCTTCTATGTCGCAAACTGTTAGTTTACCAGAGGGTATTTGCTAACCAGCTAAGAATGTCATTTTTGTAGGGTATGTAGGTTGGAATATCTAAGAATAGGTCATCCAACTGAATCTTGATAGGAATATCTGCTAACCAGCTAAGCAGCTAAGAATGTCATTTTTGTAGGGTACGTAGATGTATCTAAGATTGGCAATGGCAAAACGCTGGAAGAATGGTGGAGTGAAGGGCAAGCAAAACTCTTCAGATGTTGTTTGCAATTGTTTTGTTTGGCTTGGAATTTGAGAAATAAAATCACACATACAAACAAGATGACACAAGTTGAACATGAACAAGTGCGTTGAACTACCAACAAAAGGGACATTATACACTATACACTAACATGATTTAACCATAACACCCGTGAAACATGTGGACTGGAATCATCGAAAAACATGGATTTAGACCAAAGATATTTCTCGGCCAAACTTCATGCACCATGCTGTGCCGCTGTGCAAGAAAGATGATGGGATGCGATCGACACAAGTTTGAGTTGGAAGCTGGTTGTTTGGTTCACCACCTTGAACTTGAGAATCCAGGCTGCAGGCTCGGAAATTCGAAACTTCTCAAACTTCTCATGCTTATAATTTAGGGGTAAAACAATAGACCATCCCCCAAACCACCATAAATATCATAAATAGGTGGTATGGTTACCATATGAAATCTATATGATCTTTAACCCACGTCCATTCCCACCAGCACTGGACCTGTTTGCGGCCCCCTTCGAGTTGAAAGCTTAATCCACAGGACATTTGCTGTACCCTATGGTCTCTATATGTGAATACATATATAGTTGAACATATATATATATATTCATGTGCGAATAACTATTTATATGTTGTTATATATTTAAGAATCTATATATGAATATAATGTATACATACATTATAAATACATATTGCCCGTGCATTTTTGCCCGTACATTTACATGTGTTATATTTTGATTATATGTTAGTCAACCGTTTAGTTTCAACATTCACTATTTGCAAATCCATACATATTTTCAGTAGGTCTTCTTACATAGACTTTCAGGTTGGTGAAGGGTTACAACACACACACACGCATATATATATATACATATACATATATATATATATTTATTTATTTATTTATTTATTTATTTTTCCATCCTTTGGTAACTCGTTGCCAAGCAGCTATGGCCAATGACCTATTTTATTTGAGGTTTTTACTGATTTACCCATGAAAAATGGTGATTTACCCATCATATGGGCCGTGCAGGTATACTCTTCGTGGCATCACTGCCTTTTGTTGGGTCGTGTCGAGTTTCCTGGTGGTCTTGGAGGCCACCTGCCGGCGGTAGAAGGCTAAGATGTCGGACATCTTTGGTGATTTAATGGTGATTTAATGGTGGTTTAATGGTGGTTTAATGGATTTTGATGGTGATTTAATGGTGGCTTAATGGTGGTTTAAATGATTTTGATGGTGATTTAATGGTGGTTTAATGGATTTTGATGGTGATTTAATGGTGGTTTAATGGTGATTTAATGGTGGTTTAATGGATTTTGATGGTGATTTAATGGTGGTTTAATGGATTTTGATGGTGGTTTAATGGTGGTTTAATGGATTTTGATGGTGATTTAATGGTGGTTTAATTGATTTTGATGGTGATTTAATGGTGGTTTAATGGTGATTGAATGGTGATTGAATGATACTGAGCGGTGATTTCATGGTATTTGAAGGGATTTTTTTTGTAGATTATTTAACCTCTGGTAATCAAACCTGGATTTGCTTTGTAGAAAATCCTCCAGCAATTGGCCGAGCGATTTCCATCGGAATCCTTATGAACCACGCAGTGCCAAGGAAGAAGGGAATAACACCAGGGTTCCCTCCATAAAGGTATATAAGATTTATAATCTGGCATTTGTTTTTATTTCTTGGGCCAACATTTTCTTGGTTTTCGTTCCACATCTCCAGCCACGATGGCTGGTTCTATCCCCTTGATTTCTTACTTGTCCCCCTTGATTTGTCGTCTACATCCTGGTTGCAACCAGACATTTTGATGGAGCTGCAACTGCCACAAGCTACCCATCTTCCGCTTTGGTATCCCATTTCAGCCTTAAACTCACCTGGGCATAGCTGCGCCCAATCACGGCCGCCATGCTGATATTCCAAGTTACGGTGCTGGGATTGAACTCTGAACAAGCACTTGTGCTGTATCCTCTGGCAACATGGCAACGTTAAATCCCTTTGGTTCAATGATATTCCCATTTACATGCGCATGAAAACTTGGGGATTTTCCCGGCTAGCCATATTTGATGAGACCGTTGCGGGTAACATCCCATGATATTCCTAGAATATTCCATGAGCATATCCCATGATTGTCCTATCACTTGTCATCCCATGAAAAATCCCTCTGCCGAATCGCCCTGGATGATCCTGGATGCGGCCAGGCTTATGTTCAAAATCACATGCTCTTGGGTTTAGACTCCTCTCTCGACTGTTGGTCCCTCGGCCAGTTGACTTTTTTTGATGGGTCGAGAATTGGGGGTTTCCATAAATGGAGGGCTATCGAGTGGATAGTTTGTAATGGAAAATCATATGAACATGGCTGATTTGGGAGATCCCCCATTTTAGGAAACCTCCTTTGAGCAAAAAAGAGAAACACCGGGCAGCTCGCTGTCATAACGAACAAGAATCATGAGTTGGTAAGCGTAATTCCTCGGGATGGTGGTTTTTCAGTGCCTTATTTGAAGAGCAGAGAGGCATCCAAGATTTCATGCAAAGCATCATGGTGCATATCCTTAGCCACATTGATGGTTTTTGATGGAACAACTTATTAAAATGGCTGATTTAGGGGTACCCATATTCTAGGAAACCACCATTTATTGTGGATTATCTTTGGCTCCTTTCTTGTGTGCCATGCATCTGGGACACCCCCCGAAACCATGGTCCTAATAGCAAAAACCCGCTAAGCTGCTGAGGTGTGCTTATTTGCTGGATTGCCCGGATTTCAGCTTGGGAGTAGATAGTTGGATCCTGGGCTCTATCTGAGGTGGGTAGGGACACCAAGAAGGATATAGAAGAACTTGAGGCCGAAGTTTGGCGGCTTATAGCATGCCCATACATGCCCTCCTCATAGTTTTTGGGTAAGGTAATTGTCTAGCTTGGGCCATGCTAGAACACAATTGGTTAGATCACCACACGATGTTGAAAATCTATGCTTTGTTGATGTCAAGCAGTATCAACTAGATCCAAGATGATCCGTTGAGCATGGAACCATTGATGTCTTGAAACAAAAAGGCGGCAGAACCCTCAGAAAACATGGTGCCCCGGTTCATGAAGCTTTTTCAAGTTGGCATGAGGCAATACGGCGTAACCTCAACCGTTAACCTATTCAAAGTCTTTGGCAGTGCCGGCTCCCAGCAAAAGTGTCTGGAAAATGCACAAAACACTGTGTAGCGATAGGCCCCTCCAAAAGCAATACCTATAATTGTGCATAACGTCCACATCTGAAGTTGGTTTGCACAAACTTACGTACATGCAATAGGCTAAATTAGCGATACCCCTAGCGATACCTTAGCGATACCCATTTGTTCAAAAAATAGCCCCAGACCAGACCACAAATAGATCCGTTCCTTTTTCCTTTCCTCTTTTTCCCTTCCTCTGCCTTTACTCCGTTCCTTTTCTCTTCCTTTCCTCTTCCCTTCTCTTTTCCTTTTCCATTCCTTTTCCTTTCCTCTTCATGTCCTTCTTTTTTCCTTTTCCCAATCATTTTCCTTTCCCTTTTCCTTTTCCTTTCCACTTCCTTTCCTTTTCCTTTCCTCTTCCTTTCCTTTTCCTTTCCTCTTCCTTTCCTTTCCCTTTTCCTCTTCCCAATAATTTTCCTTTTCTTTTCCCTTTTCCTTTTCCCTTTCCTTTTTCTTTCCTCTTCCGTTCCTCTTTCTTGTCTCTTTTTGCAAAACCATGGAATACCATGGATAGCGATAGGCCCCCCCCCAAAAGCGATACCCAGTTTTCGGGAACCAAGCGAAGACAATGAAATTTGACAACAACTCATATACAATATATATATACACATATGTTGACTTATTGTATATATACATATATGCATACACTATGCATTTATATATAGAATTTATATACACACGCATACACATGTGGAATGACACCATTTCCTCCGTGCCTCAAATCTGCCCAGGAATTGCCTCCAGGCTTTGTTGAAATGCATCAGCCGCAAAGTGGCCAAGAGTTTTCTCGTCGCTTGGCCTTCGGGTGGGGTACTGCTCCACATGGCGTGGAGAAAAAGTAAAAATTCAGTACGAACTGCCGCTCATGATCATTAAGTGTATTTATAATTATATATATATATATGTGCGACTATTTCAACGTTGGGATGATGAGTTTTTGCTGCCTAGTTTGGAGCAGTCTCTTCCAAATATTCATTTGAGTGGAGGCCGCTTTAGACACATGGTGCGCGCTCAGCAAGAGCCCAGATTGCCACATTGACGTCAGGCTTTAGATGAAACCGCAAAACGTACCGTGCCAATCCCACAATAAGTGCCGCATCATGTCCATGTTTTTCATGGGGCAGTCAAAAAATCTTACCAGACTTGGTCGAATGTCCACAGTTGACTGTGACATATTTTGTGGTAAAAACATGGTTGTTTTTGAACAGTTCCCTTTAAAGAAATCCATTGAAAACATTGAAACATTGTGATGACATCATCCTGGGCCTTTGGAGGTAACCATTGGGACAATCTTCGGAATACCAGGTGAACCTTTATGGATGTTTAGGGTAGAAACACAGTTACAGTAATGAGACTCAGTTCATTGGATGACGGTGAAATTGGGATGTGCTGAATATGTGTTTTTTGCCGTCGTTGATGTGGTACTGTAAAAATCAAAGGTAAACACCAATGTTAGCAGCCATGTTTGCTGGTGAAAATCCCGCAGTTGCCAAATTTGGTAGTCTTCTTGTGGGAAACAACCCATTTGATAGTAAATTGGCAGGGCAAAGGCAACGGTTTCTCTTCACTTTCTCTCAAACCCCTGTCCCAACAAAAAATCCACACACAACATTTTTTCCCGAACATGTTGTTATTTTGAACCATTTTATAGATGTGTATTGTTCAAGGTATCTCAAGGTCGTGTTTTGTTTTCCAAGTTGTTAATCCACCATTTGGTGAAGTAGATTCTACTAGGAATGTGGTTCATTTTTTTCATGGACACCAAAAAATCATCTCAAATCAGAACAAATCCACACTAAGCACCCCCAAGACAGGCAGTTGCTACAAGGTGAGGCCTCCCAGTCTGCCAGATGGATTTATAAACTCCATATAAACCGTGTTAGCTATATAAATATACTCATGTTATATTATACCCAAACCTTTCACCAAGTTTCTGTTAGTGTCAACTTAACTTAGCGATTTCGTTTGGTGGCCTCACCTAACGTGTAAACCACTTGCACATATACTTCGGAGTGCTGTAATCGTGCTGTTCCACATAAGTAGCCACATATATATATAAACATACATATATGAGATAATAAAACATATCTAATGCATATAATCATTAATAAATATAACAACAACAATAATAACAACATTAATAATATGTTTGCCCTTTAGGCACATAGTAACCCGAAAGTTGCGGCCTGCGCTGTTTTCAGGTGATGCAGATCACCGGAGGTATCGCTTGTATCTACTGTTTAGCCTCCACCGTGATGGTGTCCCGGCGGAGAAAATCAGGATTTTTGGCGTCAAAAATGTTTTTTAGCAGTTTGGAGTTAACCAAGACAGATGGATTTTTTGAGAATTGAGAATGGAATGACACGGGATGTAATGATTTTAAGATATCTTAAGCATAAAGAAGCGGTGAACACTGGTGATTTAAGGACCAAAAATGGCGATTTGACCAGTCAAAACTGGCAACGGGTTTGTCGAAAACATGGTGGACATCACAAAGTTGAGTTTCCAATGCCATTTGACGGGTATCCCTTTTTTTTGTCCGTGGCTGGGGCATATCAACTGGATCTTTGTCGGATCTTAGATCTTTAGATATCTCTAGATATCTTCAGTGCATTATCTAAATGACAAAAAGGAAAATCAAACATTGAGACTTGACCTTATAAGACTCATTCCAAAGTAGCATGTCCGAAAAGATCCAAACATGGTCATGGTTTTGATATGGATCATCATATGGGGGTTTCCTAGATGTTTGGGTACCTTAAAACCATGGCTTTCAGCACTAAAATGGTCTGATGGCTTGGATGATTTTCAGTCTCCCGGCGGTGTGCCAGGTTGCATTCCTTTCAGGCTTTTCATTGAACGTCATATTGGTGGAAGGACGTATCACGTGCGCATCGGTGTCAAACGACTGAAGAACATGTTGGGAAACACAAACAGCTGGTCCTGCGCATGATACCACTTTGTGGGGCACATCGGTTTGAGATGCCTGGAGTGATTGTTTGTTGTTGCATTGGTGGGAAGATCATCAATTGAGCCAAAAAAAGGGGGGTTAATTTACAGTAGTATTGTGCGATCCTTCGTTCAGAATTCCAGGCACCGCCGCAGCTATTTCGGATGTTTTTGGTAATTTTGGAATGTGCCATTTAGTTGGGGAACGACCCTTTGAACGACGTCCAGAACGACATTGGAACGACCTCCTAAATATACGTATATAAGTTATATAAGTATATATTTACATATATTTATATACAGGTCTAGATACATTTAAAACAAATCAGCAGCCAAATTACACCCGTAACCACCCTAAATGCATTTTTCGGGGCTGGCAAATTGCATCTGGCACGGTCTTTGTAATCTCTGAAACGACACCCTAGCCTGAGCGGTTTCCCTCTAGAACCATGTCTGTACGAGCCCAAGACTCTTCCCGGTGCTCTGCCACCAATGCACGTGCACAAAAAATGTTTGGAGATAGGGCCATTTTATAAGGAATTTATCCTGGGCGCACCTAAGAAGTGCATGTCCACTAGGAACACAGAGGACCCTACCCGTTCCGGGGAATTCAGACAGGGATCTGATTTTCAGATTGTATAATTACTGTGTATTCAAGGGTCATTATTTAGCCATTTTTTTCGGCTCCCAAACGACCTCAGAACGACCTCTGAACTACATCAGGATTTCAGTCAGAATGACCAATTGTCCACAAAAACCCGGAGACCGCAGACCATTCATACCATGTGCGCTGCGTTCCAAGTCATTGTTGACCTGATAGCAATCTGTTCCATCGATGGGTTAATTTTCCCAGTAACACTGTCAAACTTTTCTGCCCTGTTCAAAATGACCCCGCCATGGGATTGTGAAAAAGATGCTGTTCCCTGAAAAAGAAACTGCTGAACGAAACTTTCTCTACGGATATGATGTAGCTGAAAGCAGCTCTGATGTAGATGCAACAAGCTCTAGTTCAAACAGTTCAGAATCAAGCGCCAAGACATAAATTATGAAGACCGCCGCTTGGAAATCACATGGTTTGCTTTTGGGATCAGGATTTACATACAAGTTTTTTTTTTCAACTCAATTAAGGGTTTGTTGCCCGATGCTCTATTGGTACAGTTGCCTAAAAAGTTACTTTTTGCAATGCTCCATGTGTGCATGGGGCATCCAATCCTGACTAGAAAAAACATGGGAACATCATTGTTCAAAGCTAGTTGCTGTAGGTGGTTTCAAGTTGTTGTTTCTCCATCTTACCTGGCATCATGATCGCAAATTAGGATTTTCTTCACGCCTGGAGCCGCTAAAACCACGAAGCAGAAGCCCATTTTGGTGCCTGGGGGAGGTCAATTCAAACATTTTCTCGTTGCTCAGCTACCAAGTTCAGAGACCAGTTGATGTGTTTAATTTGTTTCTCATGCCGCCAAAGCCTCGCATCCAGGCATATTAATATTGATCAAACATGGCAATTGAACACCATTTTGTTCAGGAAGAATGTCATTTCGACAAAGGTTTCGACTGGTGTAGTTCCTTGTTGACAGGTTTGATTTCTGAAGGGACGCAGGTTGTAATCGTGAATTCTGGCATGTCGTATGTAATGGATGTATGTGTGTGTGTGCGCGCTAATCATTTAGTCATTCAGTGAATTACAAACCTTTTCCCCTTTGCCCTGTGCATATTTCACTAGGGTTTCGTTTGGAAAGCAATTGGCATGAAGGGGGAAAGGGATCAAGAAGTACTGTTCATATACATGCGCAAGCAATATAGCAACAAGGCCGCTTGAATTTTGATATCACTAGGTGATCAGTCATCTACAAATATGTTGTTTTTCCTGTCAGCTGTCAATGAAAACAACAGGGACGTGGTCCTCCTGTTCCCATTGATGTTGCGCGTTGCGCATAGCCGGTCGTATACACATTGACTAGTTCAACATATATATATTATATGTGTGTGTGTGTCCTATCAGCACAGCTCAGTATAGACTATAGATACCTTTTGCAAAAAATGTGTCGCTTTGGATGCAACGCCAGAAAGCTTCACACCGTTTCGCGTGGATTTCCCGCGGAGTTTTCTGGATTTAGCTAATAAGCCCCAAATGAATTCTGTTACCCTCTGGTAATTTAACATAGAACTAGTAACACGGCCATAGAAATAGCTGATTTACCCATTGAAAAATGTGAAAAACAAAAACAGTTCGCTACGGTGTTTTCGTTGTGGGATTTCCATGCAGGAGCCTTTCTGTTGCCCGTCCTAATGCTCTTCTTTGTGGAGATGAATCTTGGTGACGTCCTTCATACCTGGCAGTAGCTCTCCAGACGTGAGTTTAGAACAACTGAAGCAAACCAAGTGCCGAGTGTTGCATTTGGATACATGACATTTGGATACATGATGATACATGTATAATATATATATATGATAATAGTTGATAATATATGATGCTGGCCCGGAATTCTACAATTCATGGGAAGGGAGAGAAGGTCACCAGTTTCATTCTGCCCTGGGATTTCAGCACGAGAAGGTCACCAGTTGAAATGCAGCGATTTGGAGCACATGGAACCAACAATTGGACATCTTAAATTTATACCATCTAAGGCTCAATTTTGCATAGGCGGAGAGATATAGAAATATATAGAAGATTATAGAAGTAGGAGGCAACATCGAGCGTGTTCTTGTTGATAAGGATAGTCATCCAAATTGCGAGGGCGCTGAACGCTGTTTAAGAGCTGAATATCAAAGGTAGGTGATAGATAGATGAATGGATGGATGGATGGATAGATAGATAGATAGATATATATTTAGATAGATATATATATTTAGATAGATATATATATTTAGAAAGATATATATATTTAGATAGATAGATAGATAGATAGATAGATAGATAGATATATAGATAGATAGATAGATAGATAGGTAGGTAGATAGATAGATAGATAGATATAATATATATATACGTATACATATATACATATTATATGCCATATATTGCTTGATGTGTTCATAAAAATCCAGCTCATCTTTCATAAAGAAACTCCATTTTGCCAGCACATCTTGCGCGACATCGCCCCGCCCCAGGAGGGTCTTTTGGCGCGGCACAGCCATTACGGAGAAATGTCGCATCGTCCCAGCCTTTGTGAACCAAATCCCAGCAGTGGCCTGGAAGAACGGCGAACCATCCCCGTTCTATGCGTTTTTGGGATGTGATGAGACGATGTATGGGATTTAATGGTGATTTAATGGTGATTCAATGGTGGTTTAATGTTGATTTAATGGTGATTTAAGTGATGATTTAAGTGATGATTTAAGGGGTTAACTAAGATAGTGGAAAACCCACCATTTGTAGATCATGTTTTTCCGGGAAAATCATGGGTTTTGGTCAGTACCTCGCAAAACGGCCTACGTTTTGACTCGCTTAGGCCTACGTCACAGATACATGACTATACTTGCAATAGAAACTTGTTTTTTTTCAAATATCAATTATCCGAACATGACTTCGACGGACTTGCACAAGTGGATTTGAGATGATCATTTGGATATTGTGATTAAGTCATATACTTACAAATGCATTCTATGCTCAAACTATAGAGACTCTTTCTAGTTGTTCCCACTGTCCGCAGTCCCCAGTCCCTAATTCCGCCATAAATATTAACCGTAAAGGTTGTAGCCAATGGACTCCAATATGAGTTGAGTCGTCTCCTGTACCTCTAGTTGTCCCCACTCCCCAGTCCCCTAAATATAAACCCGAAATGTTTGAATCTACATCCAAGATTGTCGGCCTACGTGATCCAAAAAGTCGTCCTATGTGATCCTTGGACCGGGATTTCCACATCTATATTGCTTTACCTTACGGTACCAATTTAAAACACTCAGGTTTCTCAGTTCCACAAAAAACTGGGCTTAAATCGATTTTGCCGCGGCGCATGGCTGGTACTCAATAACCATGGAAAGTGGCAAGAAACATCGGACTTCAAGAAACAGATGCTAACACAACAAATAATTCAGGATATAACACACACACATATATATATATACATTGATATATCACTTTCATAACTGGATATATACATATATAACTTATATAACTTCTGCATATATGTATATATAACTGGTTCCTTCAACGGGTTGACCTCCAGATACCTGGCCGCCGAGGGACGACGGATCAACATGGAACGATCCTACCTGGTTCAATTCATCACCGTCGCTCAGCACTGTATAGCGGGGCCGGGTGCGCCTGAAAAACAATGAAGTTGTTACACGGAAAAAAAAGTGAGGAGTGTTCAAAACCCCTTGGTAAGTATAAGATATAGATATACTTTGTTGGATGGGGATTTACTATGGTTTAGATTGATTTACCATGATGCAGCATGATTCGTCCATGGTTTATAGTTCCCGGCCTGCCAGTTGAGGGTCTCTATAGATTTTATGATAGGTTGTCGTGGGTTTCCAAAACATTCCAAAACACAATTTCCGTTAGCTTCTGGTAAATTCACATAGATATGGATAAGCCACCATCAATTTAGATTACCCGAATTGGTAATTTCAAATGGGTTGTCCAGTTGTCCACGATTGTATATACATCATTAGTTTCCCAGTGGTGAAATCACGACATCGCATCCCAGGACAGCTCCGCCGGATTCTTCGTGCGAGAAGTCAAGTTAACGCGTGCCGCTTGGTTGAAACAATGGAAAGGTGACCTGTATCAATTTAAATCGGATAAACCTTGGGCCAGGACCGACATATTTATAACATGAATGACATAGAATGGGCTGCGGATTCCAAGGAAATGTGGAAAACTATTTGACACGATTTAACTATCAATCATATGGACGGGAAGGGTTAACCTTGGTCGAACAGTTTGATCAATCATTGTTTGTCACCGTGAATGGGGGATACACACTACATGAACAAGTAGCTACATAGATGATTGATGTTGGGAAGAGCTGGGTCCATGTTGCTCTTCATCGACTATAGTGACTTTTTTGTGGTGACGATACTTAGAAATATTTGTACATATATGCTGCATATATGATCATTTGACATGTACACACATATATATATTATACATATATGTATACAAGGTGCCCCATACTTAGCTAAGTTATGCTAAGTTGGTCTATAACCACAATAAGTAGGATTTATGGTAGATATAAGTATAGTTCATGGGCTTTATAGACATTTCCGTATAACTGGGGGGGCACCACGGGTTCCTTCCGGTTCATCTGGCTCTTTACTCAAGGAGATGCTCTTGAAGAATTTCATGATCATCGGAGGCCATGGCATCATGGGGCCATGGTGATTCAGGTGATTAGGATGGGAAATCATCCCCAAATGGCCGAACTATTCAGGTTAGTGAAATATTATCATTTACCCAGATAATATATGGATAATATATGGATTATATATATATATACACAGTTACGTATATTTACAATGGGATGAAACCGGATCTATTCCAAATCACTCAGCCAATGATGTGGTCCATTGATGTCCATTGAACGGTCCCAATTTTGACTGAATTCTGGCTTTGTTCTGGGACCTCATTTGAATCCATGTAATTTTCATGGGTTTGCAAAAGGCGGTCTTTTGATGTTCAGTTTGACTTTGAGGCACCATATCGCGAACTGTTTGGAGTTTGATTGCATCTTTTGTATTCAAATCGTCAGGTATTGTGCTACATTTCCACCATTCGTATACAGTAAATCGTTCATTCTGGTTCCCCGCAAGCGTGTCCAAAGTGCCTGGGGGATGCTTATGCCGAATCCCCATGGATGTTTGGCTACAAGTTGGGAGCCGGTTGGAGCTACAATCAGAGCTTCCTAGCTACATTGATGGCTTGTCTCTTCCCATTATCATACTACTGTTTGAATCTGTTTGATAGTTCACATCCCAATGTTTCAGTGAATGTTTGACGGTCAAATTCTTAGGTTTCATCATGTTTGATGGTTTTCCATCATGTTAAATCCACATTTTCCATGGTGCCACATGGTTAAATATGGCCAAGTCATGTTAAATATGGTGCCTCCAGGTAATTCACAGCTGTTGCTGTCAGGCATTTTGTCTGGTCTCGTGGCCGTGATGTCGCGCGTTTGAGCTGTGAAGAGACAGCAGCGTTTGCGACGTGTTTTTTTGGCTGGTGAAGGAGTAGTAAGCCACCAAGTCCTTAAGCAAATCCAAGGATAGGGGTAGATGATATGGCATAAATAGGGATAGCCTAACCTTTCTCCAGTCTTGAACTGCACCGGTTCTGTTCGCTTGACGGACAGATTCCACGAGATTGGCAAACTTGGACAACTTTCGCTGCCTGCGACGTGGGCGTGTTGAAGTATATAAAATTAAATTAGAGACTGGAGATGTCATGGTATGTCATATATGTTCAATATGTTCCATATATTTGGAATGTCATCATCCCAATCCCAACTGACTTTCTTCATATTTTTCAGAGGGGTAGGTATACCACCAACCAATTATATAGATAGATAGATATATATATATATATATATATCATAACCAGTGGATATTGTAGTACCTTGTGTTCAGACAAACCCATGTACTGTATGTGTTGCTTTCCATTAACCTTGCCGATGAGTTCATCGACCGTGGTCCTCTAGCCAACCCCAATGTGCCAGCGTCAGCATGGCCTATGCATGGCACCATTTTTGAGATTTACCCTCTGGTAAACTAACTTAACTATGGAAAATCACCATGTTTAATGGGTAGATCCACTATACGTGGCCATTTTCAATAGCTATGGTAAATTACCAGAGGGTAGATGCATTTAGGTTGACATGTATACAATATATCATGTGATTATATTATAACATACATCAACATACATATGATTCATATGATCACATGTTTTCTCTGTAGAGTAAGAAGCTGTAGAGATATGACAGACACTTATCTAAAGATGTCCTCAGATTTCAGGAAACACAAGCGACCGTTTCCAAGAGCTGATTCCCATGGTGGTTTCATTTTTGAGACAGTCAAAACGATCATTAGCCCGCAGCCTGCCTTAGCTTAAGGTGATCCGTTGATTTTTACAAAGGGGAAAGTATTTTTCGGGGAACCCTCAGAGAAGATATGTGATATATTGTGATATGGTCTCTGGCCCAGAGAATCGCAATTTACGGCAAGTCTTGAGCCCACACGCAAACAAAACTGTGTGGGTTCCGCAATAGTGCTACTGGTTGGTGGTTTTCCATATATTGGGAATGTCATCATCCCAACTGACAAACTCATATTTTTTCAGAGGGGTAGGTCAACCACCAACCAGATAGTCAAATAAAATCATTAACCAATATTAACAATCATTAATCATCACTAATAAATTATATATTACTAACCACCATTGTCAACCAATGTTATATTTTGTGAGTTTGTTTGCATTGTATTTGGGATGATCTCAGGTATCCCCAAGCTAAAAAAGAATTGCAACTTGGGTGTCATTTGAGTCAATTTTTGGTACCATCTGGTTATTTCACATAGCCATGGAAAGATCCACCATTTTTAAGTTCGGTAAACCATCTATAAATGGGCCATTTTCAATAACTATGTTAGTCATAACCAGAGGGTACATTTCCAGGTTTTCCATCATGTTGAATCCGCATGTTTTGTGATTACTTAACATCCCCAGAAGAGGATGGTGACCAACTGGACTTTGCGAACTGCTCAGGAACTGCCGGCAATTAGTAGCTCTGGTTGCGATGCTAATGGGGTGATTAATATTGATGAATGGTTGCGCAACCATTGTCAACCAGTTGATACCGTTCCTGGATGATGATCTACCAAGGAAAGTTACAGTTCGTTACTTGGATGGACGATGATTCCATCAATTTCCAGCAGAGATGTCGAAATATATGTGAAATACGTTTCTTCAACAGGTTGATTTCACCGAGGTTGATTTATAGTAACCTCCTTTTTTTGTAGAACAGCTGGACACACTTGTCTATTTTTGGATGATTCCTACATGTTGAAACCACCAAGCCGGGCAGCCGGGCACTTCTTTTTGTGAGCCTTCACATCCGCATGCGAAACTGTCAGGCAGCCGGGAACTCACAGTGACGTCACTGGAAGGATGTTTAGTATACGTGGGGACTATCCAAAAACGGCTTTCATTCAGGAGACGTGCTGAAAAGTAACACTGTGTTTTCGGCAATTAATTGTTTGCTTTTACCACAGTTTCGGCACGCTTCGGAATGGAGAGAAACATGGGGACACAACATAACTATTCAACATTTGTGTAGCTAAGCAACCTGTCTCATGATTTTTGTTGAACCCTTAAAAAAGGTTGGAATTGTTCGTATTGAAGAGGGCAGTTAGGTGAAGGGTTGCCATATCAAAATCACCCCAAAAACATCCAAAAACATGCACATGGCCCCAGACGCAGGGGTTTTAACAGTCGACCATTCTTTGCCGCCAAATACGGAAAAATTAGCATTCAAAGAGATCGGAGAAAACACAATGCTATGAAAATCCAAAGTCACTATTTCAAGATGTTCCATTGTCTACCGTTCCAACATGTTTTTTTGTTGGTACGTATTCCGAATACGATTTTGTTGGTTTGCAAGGTGGTGCGGTGGTGCCACCAATTTAGATACCGAACATTGACGTAGAACATTGGCCATAACTAGATTTAACTATGGCCTATGGATGTCTATGGTAGGTGTGTGGAACTATATTTAATGGTGTTTAGAATGTTTAGATCAATCAAGCGACACAACGTTTGAGAGAACTTGGTGGCAATAGATTTGAACCTTTAGATCCTTTAAGTATAATCCATATTCCTGGCATTGAGGGTGAATGAAGGTGATGTTTTCACGGGAATTCCAGCAGGAGAAGCAAATCGCAGCTTGACACTTTTGTTGGAACTGGAAACTGTTTGGCACCAACTCTTACTTTTCAATCCTATTTGGGGGAGACAATCCCAGCCAAATATGCTTCTGTGTTGGGATGGTGGCTCAGAGTCCCTGAGTCATTGGCAGAACTCATGACAGTAGATACGAGCAAATGCCTTCCCGGTATACAACACACTGAAACAGGATTTACACATTAGAAAATCATGAACGAGCCAGGCGGTTAAAATCTGCATCATATGGATTGACTATGTGCCCCACGTGTTGTTGGCAGAGCTGCCGCTTGATACCTGGGCTCCCGGCTCCAAGCTATTCAAGCTGTCCAGAAAATGACATTGGGTATAGAACCCCCCCCAAGATAGATCAGGGATTCACCACCCATTTCCAACAAGATTTTACTTGTTCTATCCTCAATTTTGGGGGTTAGTGCAAAAGCTGTGATGGACATGGAAAAATCACCTGCCACTGATGAGACCAGAGGGTCTAAAATGGTTGAAATCTGGAAAAGATCACCACAACATCCACAACTTTGCTGATTTTGCGGGTCTCAAAGCTTCGCAACGTTGAAATCTCGGTGCAAACTTTCGCCCGGTCGAGACGCGCACGGCAGAGGGTTTGAAGAAGTCATGGGATCCCCTGGGGGGTCCCCAAGTCATGATGTCATGGTCGTTAGTGGGATGATATGGGATGATGACTGGGGTACCTATGTAACAGGAAACCGAAACATAATATGTTGTTGTGACATAGTGTAACTATGCTGAATACACCCAATGACGAATAGTTGGTCAGGTGGCAATCCGCAAGTAATTTAAGATAGCCATGGAAATGACCCATGGCTATAGTAGATTTACCAATTATATTTTCCATGGCCGTGTTCCATTGCTATACCTATACTAATTAGTTTGAAGGAGGGTAAAACTGCAAAACCAGGGGCCACACCTAATTCCATCATTCCGGCCGTTGAACAACCTGTGCAAAAACGGGTTCCCTACATTGTGTGGTGACTGGTTTTCCAGATTAAGTGGGAAACACAAATAACTATAACTGAAAATCATGTTCCTGCACATTCTTTAAGACAAAGCATGTTTGTCATTGCCTTGATATGCTTTGATTGATTGCCAAAGAAACGTCTGCAGTTACCGATGCTTCCTGCTGACAGACTCGAAACCTGTCATTCCGCCCAGTGAAATCACACAAGGTATGGTGTACATCACGATCCAAGAATCATAAGAAATCACATGAAATGGACATCAAAGAGACCGAATCTGGAAGCAATTTTCTTTATTATTTTTAAAGGTGGACCCACCTAAAAATACAGTTTGACGTATCTTGCTTGCTGCGGAGTGGTTCTTATGGAGTTTCTTCCTTTACCAAATCCATGGCTTTTGTCAACTAACTAGCTGCGTTGCAGCAATCTCTTTGGGGGCGCAGTTCACATCCGATCCTAAACACCCAAACTGGATAGTTTGCAGAACACAAAAGAAATTACCCTGCAGGAAATAAACATGGCGATGAAACAAATTATATAGCCATTTATAGATTTTTCATAGATGTTATAGATTTTAACCATATAATGAACCATTTTATAGATTTTGCCATTTACAAACTTGATGTTTTCCATGACCCCATAGCTCTGTGCCGGCCTTTTCATCACAAAGCCATAGGAGGCGCTTGAGGCGTAAAACGGCGCCAGTGGGACTGATTTGTGAGCAATGGGGGAAGAGTTACCAGTGTATAGTTGTTTAGCGTTGTTTAATGTTGTTTTAATATTCATGTTCATATATATATAATTATATATATATATGTATATATAGTATATATATTATAGTTATATATATATGCATATATATATATATATTTATATATATATATATATAAATTATAGTTATATATATAATGGTATATATATATACTACTTCTTAAGATGCATGCATGTGACAAGGTGCTGCCTTCGTTGGCTCATGTGATGTCGCTTTCGAAAGCACCAAGGTCTGGCACTTGGGCAGCCTCTATCCGTTGCCTGGCACGGAAAGTCTGGGTCGATCTGGGGCTAAATGTTGAGGTCCAAGGCGGAGAAACCTCGGTACAGTGGCTGGGTTGAGCCATGTCCCATGGTCCATTTTGCCTCAAATTCCATATGATCCAATATGTTTAGTCGTTAAAGTATGCCCAAACCTCCAAAACCTGTTGTGTTGGTTAATTCAAATCACATTTTCACTGGACTTGATCAAATTTGCA